GTAATTTAGTTACTATACATTTTAGCTCGAACATTGCAACCAATAATCCCAAATTTCAAAAAGTAAATCTATGAAGATTCACAGCAGTGTAGTCGGGGTGATCCAGAACACGAAGATGTGCAGAGCACTGATATTGGCGATGTTGTGTGATAGGTACAAGAGACCAAATAAAATCCTCAAGACCGGATTGTATCGTACGGATAGTATAGCAGCGCTGTTCAAAACCAGACCGAGCACTCCTGTCTGAAATTCATTGATTTCGGTTTCTCTTCATAGCTGTAAAAACTCCACACCTTTTTATAAAATCTCCAGTATCATAGGAAACCTCGACTCACACTCTATGAAATTCAGTCTTACTCTAAGTAAGATTATACGGATTCCACAAATTTTTGTAAGCGAAAAGCATATTTACGCATTCCGGCTGTGTAAAACTGCGCAGTTTAGGAGGTGAGTAGGTCGCAGTGAGCAACTTTTGTCCTTTCCTCGGTTTTGGATGAAATCTCACGCAGAAATACGTCGAAAGAGATGGTCAAGTATAGTTGTCAATCAAATGGTCTAGGGAGTAATGCTGATGACTAAAGGCTTTACTAATCAGCTCTATTAATCTTAGAAGCATCAGTGGAGCAGCGTGTGCCAACGCGTTGTCGTTGAAAATCACAGGTGAGTATAAAGCTATGCCTTAAAGATATTATTTCTTATGAACTATTATGAAAATTCTTAATTCGAATCTCTAGTGCTTTAATAAATTTTTAGCAGTGTTATGATGTTTTTTTGATATATCCAAGAGAATTGAGTGATAAGCAAACATACGACCTTAGGTGGGAGTCGAACCCGTGTCTCATTCATACCGAAGACCCATGCTACCACTACACCACCAAGGTAAAATCTCACCATCACTCATTCTTCAACATCGCTATATGTCAACGTAGTGGTGGTCCGCGCGTGTGGCAGCAGTGGTGGCACGCGTTCCCTTATGGACAAAACGCATGTTCGACTCCCGTCCGAGGTCGTATTTTTGCTCTCCATCCAGTTCTCTTGAAACTACTAAGGATTTGCTATCTCTTCGTTACCTCAGTCAGCGCCATGTGAACACAATGCCGTCCACAGTATTGGTGGACTTCTCGCGACTTTTTAAGGATTTTAATTAATACATTGATTGATAATCGTTGTTAATTGTTTCGTTAACTATCTTCTAGACCCTTTCTTTTACTTATTCCAAGTTTCTTTTTTTTTCTTCCAGTAGAGTGAAAGCCGAGCAATAGACTGGTGATTTGAAAAAGCTAGTGCGTCTTTTGAATGATTCCATTATCAAATAAATATCGATTCAATGTACATTTTGATTTCATATCAGTCATATGACTTCAATGTAAACCGGCCATGGTGCTGATGAGCTTTACGGGATGGATTGACTCTTTAAGAACCAAACTGTAAGTTTAGTATCGAGCTGCTTTACGTCAAAATCTCCCTCAGCTACTCTAATAGCGGTGTGGTGTCCCAAGGGAAAGCAGAGAGACGGTCACACATTCATACACGGACATACCGTTGTCGTCCGCTTGGACTCCCGCACAAGCGACAGCAAGATGCTGTCCGCCTATCAATGGTGGTCGTCAAAGAGTTAAGAAATAATTCAAAAGTTCGACTTTCTAAGAACCTCGGCACAGTTAATTACTTTACATATGAAAATCGAGAAAACTTATCTTGATTGACTGAAGCGAGGTTGGTAAGATAGTAGTAGCAATTTGGCTGTTTCGGTGACCCGCCTTCCTCAGCGCCTAGACGTATGTAGTATTAGTCTATTTGTATGATTCGGAGGATCTTATTTATATGCTACCTAAGTCACTTTAGAAATTCGAATGAAGAAAGGGAGCGAGATCTTGTGTGATGGTGACGTATTCGTCCTTCGGGTTGATTTTGGGGTTTTTGGGGCTTGTCCTCAATGCCTCAAAGTCTTGCGCGTGAATGTTTTTGATTCCTGCGCTAGGATTGTGGCAGTCACATCAAAATATTTGCTGCTGTGTTTTTGTGCCCTATGTAAACCTAAGGGGTTTGGTTTTATCTGATTTAAATCTATTATCTAGATGTTCTTTTATGCGGATGAAAGGTGATCTAGTCTCTTCGCCTATATATTCTTCCGCGCATGTCTCACATGTTAGGAAAAAAATTGGGCCCAATCTCATACAATTCCCCTCCTTTCTGTAGGGCAGATTATACAGTTTCTGGTGTTGCACAATCAATCTTAATGTCTATTGCGGATCAGCTGATGGCGTATGGTGAAGCGGTGAGACTTCAATAACTACCATAGAATTTTCAAGACCGCATTTTTAGGCACCTTTTACCCGCTCTGCTAATTTCGTTTGATATAAATGGTAGTTTAAAGGGAATTCGATCCAGGTGCGGAGTGTTGCTCTTTCGGGACCTAATTCCACTTTTGAATATTCGCGAATGGAAAATGTTTTGTACTCGTTGGAAATGGCAAATTTTCGTGCCAAGTTAAACGATTTGTTCCTTCCCTCTACTCCTGTGCACAAATTTTTAGCCCGTCGAAACATGTTTTTGATTGCCCATCTTTTCATTTGTAAAGGATGAAAGGGAAGGTGATTGACCAAAATATTTATGTTGCCCAAAAAAATGCGGTCTTGAATACTCCGTGGTAGTTATTGAAAACCCACCTCCCACCCTACGCCATCAGCTGATTTGCAATAGACTTTACGATCGATTGTGTAACACTAAAAACTGTATATTCTGCCCCACGGAAAGGAGAAGGATTGCATGAGATCGGGCACAAATCATTTGCTAACATGTAAGACATGCCCGGAAGAATATATAAGCGAAAAGGGTAGAGCCTTTTTCATCCGCATAAAAGATCATCTAGATAGTAAATCTCAAATAGATATGCATGGGGCACTAAACACAACAACAAAGATTCCGATGTGACTGTCACAATCCTAGCGCAGGAATCAAAAACATCCACACGCAAATCTCTTGAGGCATCTTGGATAAACGCTAAAACCCCGAAATGAACGGGTAGGACGAATGTGTCACCAACACACAAGACTTCGCTCCCTTTCCTCGTTTGATATTTTAACCTGACCTAAGTAGCATGTAAATAAGATCCTCCAAATCATACAAATAAACTAATACTACATACGTCCTGCTGAAGAAGGCGGGTCGCCGAAACGTCAGCCAAATTGCTACGACTATATACCATCCTCTCAGCTAATCAAGATAAGTTTTCTCGATTTTCATATGTCGGTCAAAAAATAGTTTATACGGGTAATTCCAAAATTGCAATAATAAATGTGATACGCCCGACCTCTAGTCTTAATTAGGCTTTGAGAGAAATCCAATGCTCAAATTCAAAGCTAAGAATTAGATTCATTCTAAAACTTGCTAGTAGATTGTTACTTTTGCCAACTGCATTGTAAAGCGCTTCAGACTCACCATTGACATGATCGTCGACACCGCAAAGTTATCCTAGTGAATATAAAACGGAGTTTTTGAGAGAATCGCCATCTGAGAAATATGTGAGTCTTCAATTGATAAAATGAGGTAAACATATCATTGACACTAAACAGCACAATGGAATCAGATTCAAGCTAGATACTTTACTCCCACGCTCACGAATCTTGATTCCTGTGAAGAGTTGTGGTGCCATCGAGAAATTCCCATTGCATTTGTAGTAATTATCCAGAAGCTAAAATCTCTGGCCATCGGGCTACGTAGCCGTTTTTAAGAAATCTTTTTCATAACGCTGCGGTATAAGAAAAAGGGAATCCTAAATTCAATAACAATAATCGCACTCCTCATGCGAATCACGCATGTATTATCTGTCGGTCTCGCGTTGTCTGTCCACAGTCAACACACATTAGTCGACAAGCAGATGCGTAGCGTACGTAAAACTCATTTTTCCTCTGCTACACTCTTTCTGGAATTCAAGCACTGCGTTGCGTCCTAGTGGCTGAAAATTACGCTATCGCATGACCACTTGCGTAATCATTCTCACAATTTATACGATTAGCAACTTTACAATAAAGGATAAAGGATAAAGCTCTTGGTGTTGATCAATCCCTAAGGGATGCGCCATGCATTCGACTTCAATTATTAACTTCGTTTGAGGTGATTGAATGCATATCTGGCCTTTACAATGACTCGCGATGGCCTCCCGCTGAACCGAGTTAGTGCTGCTTATCCTCCCAGATAAGTCTGAGACCTGTCTGGTACCAATTTACCGACCCCGGAGGGATGGATGGCTTGGTGAGCCATGAACGCGAGAAAAAACCCTTGTCTTCATGCAATGCAGAGCACTTTTAAACACTGCGCAACGTGCAATCTCTCACCCATATAACGATAGAACATAGATTCTTTCAGATTGCTGTGACCCTGCCAACTTCTAGAACAGACAAAAGATTAAGAAACTATTAAAAGTTATCAGTCACAGACATCCATGCACTCAGTGGCATCATTACTGCCAAACTATTTCTTGTGATGCAATTTTCACTCATTACGATAACTTTTGTATGTTATATGGAATGAGGGTATATCAAAACTAAAAGTTTATGTCGCAATAAATGGTTTTCAGAGGCACAAACTGGTGATGTAATTGATTACTGGACTTTTTATTTCATTTGCGGCAGTGTATGAGGCTAAATTCTTGTTGACGTGATAGATGAAAGACAAATATGATTTTAATATAAATGAGTATATGTTAAATAACATAAAAATGTTCATTAACAGTTCGAAATACCACTTTTTGAAAGTATCTGAATTTTCCTTCGACATTCGAGGCATTGGGAGAAAGCATCGCTATGTTTATGTTACAGATAGCTTTATAGAAGTCTCTTCTATTATAATTTACCACTTATTGGAGATAAAATTCCCTTCATTGACGAAAAAAATCCGGATATCATTATGAAATGACCACATCGCCATTGAAACCGACGCGCAAGATTTCAAAGTTGTTATGGTATACCCAATAACGCGGAGTGCTATGCAAAAACATTTGCGTCTGTCGGGATTCAAACTCAGATCTCACTCTTTCCAGGAGGGCATGCTAACCGTTGCACCACCGATGCGACCACAATGCCGATAGCGGCTGCCTCGTCACACCGTTGACGGTTGGCTGTTGACAGACAACGCGTTATAGCGTAAAAAAGAGTGCTATGCAAAACAGATACATATATATATATGTATATATATATATATATATATATATATATATATCACCTGTACCACCTGTCGTCCCGTTGATGGTCGAGTGACTCGAGCGGGTACCAGCAACTCTTCCATTTTTCCCTATCGCGTGCAAGAGTAGCCCAGTGGGTCCTACTCGCTCTAGGGATTCGGTGAGCATCATATTTTTCTCTCATCGCTTTCGTGAAGAAATCGGACCAACGGGTCGGTGGTCTTCTTTTAGAGCGCTTGACGTCCCGAGGAATCCAGTCGGTAACGGCTCTCGTCCATCGGTGGTCGTTGAAGCGCATCACGTGTCCGGCCCACCTTAATTTCGATATCCTGGCGGGTAGAACGGCGTCTCTGATTTTCGATTGTTTACGTAAGTCGGAACTTCAGATCCTTTCTCTTATTTGCGAGATACGGGACACTCCTAGCATCGACCTTTTGACTGCGCGTTCGAAAACTCCAAGTGATTTTTCATCCTGCTTACGTAGCGACCAGGTTTCTGCTGCATACGTTAGGGCAGGATAATTGTCGAGTCGAAAAGATGGGCACGGAGTCGGATGTTCTTTGTCCTCTTCACTACATCTTCGATGCTTTTAAACGTTCCCCAAGCTGCTCGTTTCCTCCTGCTCAACTCTGGGGCTAGGTCGTTCATCATGTTGATTTCACGACATAGACAGCCGTAACTGGAGCATTCGGAGATTGTCGTTCCGTTGAGAGTGAATGGGGCATTAGAAACCTATCCGTTCATGAACATTGTTTTCGTTAGATTCAGCTGAAGACCAATCTTTCCACAGGCGTTATCGAAATTAGTCAACATTCGTTCCGCTTGGCTGATGTTTGGTGTTATGAGAACGATATCGTCAGCAAAGCGAAGATGGTTTAACTGTCGACCGTCAATTTTCACTCCCATTTCGTCCCATTCTAATGTTCGCATGACGTTTTGTAGGATGGCGGTGAATAGTTTTGGCGAGATTGTATCGCCTTGTCGAACCCCTCTACTTACGTCTATGGTGATATTGTTGTAGAATGGAGATATTTCGGTCGTGAAATTTTTATAAAGCTCACGAAGGATCATTATGTACCGAGTAGGGACGCCCTGGTTATCCAGAGCCTCTATAACCGCTTCTGTTTCCACTGAATCAAAGGCTTTCTTCAGGTCGATGAAAGTGAGACAGAGTGGTTGTTTGTACTCTCGTGGAACTTCAATGAGTCTTGCATTGTGTGGATGTGGTCTATGGTACTAAATCCTTTTCGGAACCCTGCTTGTTCGCATGGCTGTCCTTGGTCCAGTTTTCTGTCAATCCTGTTTTGGATGACTCAAGTAAAGTGTTTATAGAGAACGGACAGCAAGCAGATTGAGCGATAATTGCCTATGTCGTGAAGGTCTTTCTTTTTGAACAACAATACGGTCTTGCTGGTTTTCCATTGAATGGAGACCTTGCATTCTGACAGGTAGCGAGTGAAGAGCCGAGCCAGGGTGTTGATGAGAACTGGCGGCAGATTCAGGTGTTCTGGTCTAATTCTGTCTGGACCGGGTGTTGTTCTATTCTTCACCGACGATATAGCATGTCGGATTTTGGAAGGGAGGACCGGTGGGACGGCATATTGGTCCTCTTTAAATTCATGTGACTGTAAGAAGACATGGCTAGCGAAGAGATCCGAGTAGTATTGGTGGATGATTTTCTTCATAGCCCTTCTCGAAGCTGTAAGTGTCCCGTCAGGGTATCGGAGTGCAATCATCTTGGTTATGGTTGGCGAAGCCTCGCTGGGCTTTACGAATGCTCTTCCTAGCTTCTGCAGCTTCTGCCATAACAGCTGCTCTTCTCTCTTTGAGGTCTTTTTTTATCGCTTCTCTGCAGCGTTTCGCAAGTTCGGACGTAAGGCTTTGGTTGCCTGTAGCTCGTGCGATTCCACGTTGACGTATCAGCTCGAGTGTCTGCGGAGACAAGCGTCTCTTCGTGACCTTAGCCTCTTTCTTGGCTTTCATAGCGCTGACGTGAAGATATTCGACAAGTCTGTCGTAATATTTATTGATGTTGTCGACAAAAATATCTTCCCAAGAGGAGACCAATAATTTATATACATCCCAGTTTAAGGGTAGTTCTGGGACTTCGTTGTTTGAATTTAGCGGCTTTCTCTCCTCTCCTTGAAAATGGGAACGTTGCGCGAAAGAGGAGATGGTCTGACCCCGTGTAAAACTTATGAGAAACAGCGACATCGGTCAGGCAAAATGTTCGCACCCTCCATTTGGAGACTTCCACGTCCATCGCTGAGAAAGAGGCTTTTGGAATTGCGAGTTATCATGGATGGTTTGAGTCGTCATGATAAACTCAGACAGCCTCTCACCCTATTCATTCCATTCTAGTCCGTGGGTCCCTATGTGACGTTCTTAAGACGTTCTTCTAGGTTCAATTTTTGCGTTGATCTTCCACAGCGGATTCGTGAGCAGGGGTTCTTGCGTTGCAGGTACAGATCGTCATTTTAGTCCGTTTCGATCTTGGCAGCCTAATTCGGCCCTGAGATTTTAGCAGCCTCTCCGTACTCTTCCTACCTGGCGCTGCCGTACCAGGGGCTTTTCAGGGTCAGGGGAATGAGGTCCATATTTATTACTGTTTCTGGCATTTTGATACCAACGTATAGCTTGCCAGGCTCTAAACGTGGAGGGCTGGGTACTCACGAGTAGCTTGCCAGTCTCTCTCGGAGGAGCTGGAGGAGCTTATTTGTTGGAGGCGACTCCTCACCGCCTCCCATGTACTTCCCAGCCGCTTGATTGCAGGCTTTTGGCCGACTTGACTCGTAGAAATATTGTCAAGTCGGCTCTGCAGAAGCAGGGAGCTCTTCCCGTGAATCCACCTGCGTCTCTGGGAAGCACACGGTCGCTTTTGGTTCGCGTTTTATTTCTCTAACCACCACTTGGTGACGCGCCACGTGCCGTCGCGACTAACCGGGCGGGATCCCTCAAAGGGGGAGGTCCGTGGATATATATATATATATATATATATATATTAGGAAGCGTTATGGCCGAGTGGTTGTGATGTTTGTGGCCGCGCGCATGAAGCCGATCCCCACCCCCAACACTTCAGTAGTCAACAAGGAGCAACCTATGGAACACCACAGTCGCCCCAACCTCGACATTGCAAGGAAACACGCACAGGCAGTAATCCACAAACGTTTAAGAAGTAGACGTAGACATATGCAAATGTATAAATATATATGCATGTATACATATATATACATATATATATGTATATATATATATATATATATATATCATTCTTACGCTATCCAGTGTTTGTCTATAAGCCTTCTAAAAACCGCTTGTGAATTGGGTACTTTGGCGCATCATCGTCCATTTTCAAAGTGCTTATTTTCCACTGAGAGGATTCCAGCACTTCTAAGATTCAATCGCTTTGCGTCTTTTTTTGAACATCGTGTGATACTAACTGGGCGTGTCTTTTTGCAATTTCCAAGATAACCTGACTGTGGCGTTCCATAGGCGTTCGTTCTTGACTGCTCGAAGTGCTGGGAGTGACACTTGCTCACACGAGCTCCGCAGCGATTACCATAGTCACTCCGCCACGGCTCCCGTGGAATGATGAAGGCAAAGTAATGAATGGAGTGGACACGTTAAAGTGATTTCTGAAAGGGCGTGTCACAATCTTCACAATAGCCGTCTCAAACATTCAATAGAATAATACTACCAAGAGACCGCCCAAATCCATTATGCAAAACTCACCTGTCAGAGGCTTCTTTGTGTATTGCTCATGATAATTCTGCCTTCATGGAGTTAGTTGCTTACGACACATATCGTAATCGAAATTACTCTGAACATTTAGCGCCAACAAATTGCGAGACTTTACTAAGAGACTTCTGATATGTTCAGGTAAAAAAGAACAAGTAATTGTCAGACCATCCTATTTTCAATGGCACGTTTTGTAGCGCAGAGTAATTTTCTGCGCTGTCTTCTTTTTGTATTCGGCCAATAACTGCCACAAAACATACATATGAGCGAAAAACCAGAAAATGTATACCTAGGTGGATCAAATATTGAAAATTGCTGCCTATGATCTGGTAGGTTCAACTGAGGATTTGTTCACTACCAAGAAAAAGCTGATGAGATATATTACGATTCACTTCTTGTACACCATGATCATGCCTCTTCTATCAACATATTTCAGTTGATATTACAGGTTCTCAACATCGTTGCGCTCAAGTGAGTCTACTTTGCAATTTAGTTTCTGAAATTTACACTCTTTTTTCACATTCTGCGATCATTAGCGATATTTGTAAGACAGTCACAGCTAATACATTTGCTGCGCAAAATTCGACTGACGCTGACGCGCTTGTGGACAAGCAAATGGACCTGAACTTTGCCATATCATTAAGGGCATACGCTTCCTTAGGCTCATAGAGTCAGTGTTGACCTCATCATTATTGTAAGCGTCGTTTTGCTCAAAACCGACAGTAGAGAGTTATGGGCAACATGGAGATTTGATCTTTAGTGCTATCTACAATAAGGTATACCACACTGAGCATTCAGCAAAGTCAGCAGCGCTGCTAATCCTCTATCTGTGAGATGACGAGATAGTACTAGCAAGAGTTTTGCGATGGAAAATTGAAAATTTTGAGAAACGTTTGAAATCTGGGTGCTGCTTCTTAACTTTTTTACCGCTTTCAAATTTTGTCTTTAAAGAGCGTTTCAAAGTTATTTTTACCTTTTCGTTCACTCTACCTACCATTTATAGAATATAAAACCCATCTACATTTCTATAATAGTTCGAATGAAATACAAGTGTTGTGGTGTCCAGTTATATCTAAGGGTGCATGCCTGTGTTTACATATCAGTTGCATGTCTTCATATTCGACTGTTTTCTAAGATTTCGCTTAAAATTGA